TGAACGAGCATGGGATCAAAGTGGACCCTCTGAATGTGGCTGACAATTGGGGCAGACTGAGAAGCCAACAAGAATGGCACTGGGATTTGTCTCTACTGCATGTACTGGCTTTTTGGGATACCATTCTATTTGGTTGCATGCCTTCCTAAGCCTGGATGGAGGGGAGAGGGCCTTGGACTTCACAGGCCAGGGTACCCTGCCCTCTCTTTGGACTGGAGAGGGAGGGGGGAAACGGTGAGTGGGGGAGCAGGTAGGAAGTAGGAGGAGGTGAGGATATGGAGATTTTGAATGGTATCATTTATATAGTAATAAAAATTATTAGAAAAAAGGAAATAAATAAATTTTTAAAATTTGCTACAGAGCTGCCTGGTGATATGACTTTCACAACCAGTTCCTGCTCCCACTCAGGAATCTTCTAAACATGTGACCATGTCCTCTTTCTGGATGAACTTTGTTTGAACTTCCACAATAATCAGCAGCAAGTCTTCAGGTGATTTCCAGCTTTGCTGGGTCAATTCTGGTCAGCTCATTCTGGTTTAATCCAAAAGCTGCTGTGCTCACCCAGCAAATGGACCTGCTGCTCCTAACAATTACACATGCAGCAAACTGAGGGCAAAGTTATCTGTGCTTCAAACAAAAATATTACATTCATGGCCTAGAGTCTATCACCTTTATGTGCAATTCAACAATTACTTATAGTCCAGAGGCTGAGAAGCAATATTTGCACTTGGTTAGAAAACTTGGAACCTTCTTGTTCCAAGATACTTGTTATCTAGGGCCTGGTTTTTCCATAGTGAGCAAAAACAAATCAGATGTTCTTGGGGTACAAGTGTCTAGACTGTGATCATGTGGGGCAGTGGCTGTCCTTCCTCTCCCAGGGAGTCACCCGGGGCTCTCAACACAGCACACTTACTCTCACACCTGTGCTTTCCCGTCATGGGGGGTTTGTCTGTCCTCGCCATTAGATGATTTCAGAAACCGCCAAGTCACAGGCTCATTTGGAAGACTGTGATAGGGTAACCATGGTGATCGGACATCTTGGTCACTGACCCCTCCTCTAGGAGATGCTATTGTCCACACATTGCCCCCTAGAGCTTCTTCAGTTAATGATTCCCATTGCATCAGGGTCACATTGCTTTGCACAAAAATGACCTCTAGATCATCCTCAATTCTTTAATGACAGTTGTCCTGTGTAGCATTTCTCGGCATGTCACTGGTCAACTGAGTTGTTGATAGTAGATCTTCAGGGTGTCCAGGTGGGGCAAAACTAATCTTAGAGACCCCTACTCTACTCCCTCGCCATGAGAGTCTACAGCTCCACCCTGCTACTCATCTCAGAGACTGTTCAGGACTCTGCGAACATTCCAGTGTATTTTGTACTCTGCAGAGGGCCCACATCCCTGCTAGTCTGCAGTTCCTGTGGACCCTTTCACAGTCCCGCATCACACCGTGATGTTCTCTGATTGGCTAAGTGAAGTCATGCTAATTAAGGGGACAGATGTCAGTACAAGGAAACTGAGGAAACATCTGATGAAAAGCAAGAGGTCAGCATTTAGTGTCTCATCAAACAGAGTTGAAGAATTTTCAAATCGGGACTACCTGGTTCAGGGAATTTGCCCTGCAAACTCTCTCTGGATCCGTCTTTGTCAAAGCAAAAGTAGGTTGACTCACATGTGCCCATGGGAGGCTGAAGAAGGCATCCTTCAGGTCCAAGACAGTGGGCACCTGTTTCTCTGGCAGAGTTAGACTCAAGAGAACCAGAGGTCCCAGGTTTCTTCAAAGACATGGGAGGTGTATTACAGGGTGAAGGCAGTGCACCAGGATGTCTGTCTCTCTAAGCCTGGCAATGGGAAACACAGCTTCCCTTTTTGTTTCCAGGGTCTTTTGGTATTGTTTAATCTGTAGAGAGTAGTTGATCTGATTTGCTGAACTTGGTGTTGGGCCACTCCTTAGGGGTTGGTTTCTGCCCATATTTCCAGGAACTGTAAATCTGAGAGTTCAGTTGTATTCCTTGACTGGGGCAGGACTTTCTATAGGAGATATTCCTCTGACAGAATCTGTAAGTCTAACTGTGTGTCATCGTCAGAGAAGGTGACAATGACTTTCAGTTTATATATAAGGTGTCGTCTCTCAACTGGTTCCCTTTTATTAAACACCTTTGGGCTACCTCCAGCAACTGGGACTCATTTAAACCTTTACATTTTTCTAATTTTAAAACATTTTCTAATAGCTGTGGCCAACTGGGAGACAAAGGAAATCTTTTCAGCAGCTGTTGTTTATCCTTCTAGAAAAGACCCATCAAAAAGTATTTGAAGTTCTTCTCTCGCTTCTGGGAGGTTGAGAGGGAGGGAACGCAGTCTGAGTGGACTTTGGTTTGCCAATTGTTGTTACCAAAAGTAGAAGGCGGCTTCCATAGTTGTGTCTGTGTGAGTCTTTGTGCTTTCTGTTAATATTCTAATCCTTATCATTAAAACTTGTATTTTTGAGATGGAAAAAAAAGTATTTGAAGTCCCCTTGGTCAATGTTAGGAGACAAAGGAAATATTTTCAGCAGCTGTTGTTCATCCTTCTAAAACGGACCCAGCAAAAAGTATTTGAAGTCCCCTTGGTCAGTGTTGCACAGAAGGGAAAATCCATTCTGCCCAGGAAGAATTGTTCTGCACTAATCCACACTCTGGCAAGGTCTTGGGTGGGTGGGGGGGGCTCTACATTTTCAGAGAATGCTAGGTTTTGAGTTTTCCCATTGCACAGGTTGCTCTATGAAAACGACACATAAATAATGGAAGAGGAAGGAGTGGAACTTCCTCTTTTGCTCAGGGAACTTTTCCCATTCCCAGGGGTTGCATAGAGAAAAGGGTAGGAGTAGAGCAAGTGTGTGGCTTGGGAAACTATTCTCCTCCATGTGCACATTCTGCTGAGATGTCAGCCTAAGAGCTACAGGGTTGATCTGTAGAGGGTCCCCGAGTCTGAGATAGCAGATGTTTTCCCTCCAGACCACAGCGACCCCCAATTGAAACGCACTCAGCCAAGAACCTAGAATGACTGAACTAAGGTCACTCCTTTGAGTCAGCAGGGAGCGTGGGAAGACGATAATATCCAGCAAACCACAAGTTTCCTGTGTTCTGTCAGGTCCTTGCCAAGTGAGGCTTTCTCTTTCGTTTTCTGGAGGCCGTGTTCAGTAATCACTTGGATGCACAGCTGGTCACTGTGTCCACGCAGCTAAGGACTGTCCAGTCCCATCTGAATTCATCCTGTTGAAGATTCCTGGTAAGTTGGGGAATGTCTAAGCTCTCACACCTGCATACCCCCACAGCCACTCTGAAAGAGGATCTTAGCACTGTTTTGTTGATAAATTTTGCATATAGCAGCCCCCTCTCCTGCCACCCGCATAAGAGGACCAGCTCTTCCCCAGCACTTCATAGAGATTGAGACGGACTCCAACCATGAATGGAAGTCCAACAACAAAGCCAATGAGCACTCTGTCAGCTGGACAGGCAGGGGTTTTTGGGTTTCTCTGTGTGCGGAACCAAAAGAATTCAGGTCCCTGACAAAGAGGGCACAGGTCATTAGCAGGGAAGAGGGGGTATCTCACACCACAGAAAGTCACTGGTCAGGTCAATACAGGGACGTCGAACTAACAGAAACATGTAGAGAGACACACAGTAGAGACACCAGGGGTGACCCCACACATTCATACAGCAGGGGAGTCTGGTGATGGTTCACACAGATATCGGACACCTCTCTTTGTGACCTATACAGAAGACATCTTAACCAGACTTACCTCTAGAGGTGAAAGCACAGGTTACATTCTAATGTGTTTCTTTTTCCAGTGCAGGTGTCAGATCCCTCGAGAGCATTAGACAGGAAGTGATAAAAGGGAGTCCTGGGGGGGCTGGAGAGAGATGGCTCAGCGGTTAAGAGCATTGGTTGCTCTTCCAAAGGTCCTGAGTTCAATTCCCAGCAACCACATGGTGGCTCACAACCATCTGTAATGAGGTCTGGTGCCCTCTTCATGCCTGCAGGCATACACACAGAATACTGTATACGTAATAAATAAATAAATAAAAGAAAGAAAGGGAGTCCTGGGGACCTGAGATATCTCAGGTTTACCATCCCCTTGGAAGTCATTGACCACTGCACTCTTTCCTGCTCTGAGAGGATCTGAGACCCCCTGATGTCTCTAGGGATCTCCAGAAATGTTGTGGGAATCCACCAGAGATGGGTATTCAGACACGGGCTTGAGCCAATAGAAAGTCTTTGTTAGTCTGCTGATAACCTCACCAGTGTTCAGAATCCCAGTGTAGCAATGAGCCTTTCTCAGAAGCACAAAAACCACATCTTGGGATGGCATACTTCAGTTAACCAGAACAGCCAGCCAGGAGCAGAACTCCAGAAGCTACAATGCAAGGTTAGCACGTTTGGAGACTTCCGGGAGAACCATGGACTTTGATGGATTAGAATTTAGTTTTCCTTATGTCAGGTGAAGCTGTCTATGTGTTGGGTTTGTGGCCTGAATGGCACTTCCATCATGGAGTCAGCTGTGCTAAGGTCTGGAGGCCTACTAAGGTTTGAGGAACTGTTACCCTGAGAGGATGTGATACTGAGTGATTCAGAGCAGGAGTTCCTGGGAGGAGAACCCACACAAGCAGATGACCAGATGCTGTGCACACCATCCTCGGCAGCACCAAGGTCAGCATCAACAGAACCCAGGAGGTGGGGGTGGTGCTGAGGCAGTGGGTGGGGGATGGAGAAATGACTAGAGCCTAAGAGGTACAAGGGGTGATCTGTGGATGGTCCCCGAGTCTGTGGTGCCAGATCTTTTCCCTCCATACCACAGAGACCCCCCCCCCCACCATTTAAAATGGGCTCAGCTAAGAACCTAGGACTAAGGTCACTCCTTTGAGTGTGTCAGCCAGGGGCGTGGGATGAGGGTAGCATCCAGCAAGACTCAAATTTCCGGTGTTTGTCAGTTCCTTGCCAAGTGGGACTTTCTCTTTCGTTTTCTGGTTGGGTATATCAGCCGGAGGCTGTGTTCAGTAATCACTTGGAAGCACAGCTGGTCACCGTGTCCACACAGCTAAGGACTGTCCAACCCCATCTGAATTCATCCTGTTGAAGATTCCTGGTAAGTTGGGGAATGTCTAAGCTCTCACGCCTGCATACCCCCATAGCTACTCTGAAAGAGGATCATGATAAGTTCAGTAAGCTCAGGGATCTGCCTCGGGTCACAGACACAGCAGCAATGAAGCCTCCTTTGCAGCCAGGGTGGGGTCTGGCCGCTCCCCTCTTTTCATCTACCGTAAGTGCAAAGTAGGATGAGGAGCTCCTCAGACAGGCTTATAGCACCTATGGCACTCAGATGTGCACCAGGTTCCTGACATGTGACCAAAAGACCTCAGGGAGGAATCTGCTCTCAGAGTCCCTCCTCTGAGAAAGGGAGGAAACAACAAGATAGGGGACAGGGGACCGCACATCTCTGTTTGGGGGCCTGGACACGCAGAGTTGATTCTGAGTGATGTGACTTAAGCAGAATGGGGACAAGAACGGCTTTTTGAGACACAAGGACCCCAGGGTTTTCCACCCATCTTTCTCTGAACCCACACTCTGAGTCAGGCCTTGTGAGGAAACTGAGGCTTCAGGAGAGAGAGACTTGACCAGGACTCTGGGACAGGGGCTGAGCAGGTGGCTGGCAGCCATTTATATTCTGGGCTTTGCATGGCCTCTGCTCACCTATTAGGGGATGAGTGGACAGGCCAGAGCCTCTCATACGTCCATGTGGAGGTTAGACACACACACACACACACACACACACACACACACACACACACACACACACA